CGGGCCCGGCTCGGGCCCATTGCCTCGGCCCCGGCGGGTACGCGGCCCCTTTGTCCGCCCCCTCCCCTCCAGCGGGACCCCCGCCGCCGGGTCACAGGAGCCGGGGGCCACCGGGCAAGGAGCCGGTACCAGGGGAGGGGCACCCGTGAGAAGGCCCCGAGGAAGACTAGGGACCTGGGCCCGCCTCCTGGGGACCCAGACCCGGAGGCCCACCCCACCCCCTCCGCCCCGGCCGAGCTCTCAGAGGTGTCCGGGCTCCCGGCTCAGGCCGTCCTGGCGATGGGGGACGTTGATGAGCAGGGAGCCCATCAAAGAGCTCGGGGTGGGGCGCAGCCCTTGGTTTGCCCAGATCCTTGCAACAGCGGAAGAGCGGACTCCTCGTGCACCAGCCCAGAGGGATGCAGAGCGGGAGGAGGCCTGGCGGCCGCGCGGTTTCCCACGCCTGCTCTGCGAACTGCCTCCGCATGAATGAAGGGAAACGAGGCCTGAGAATCTCATCAGGGAGCGAAGCCCGGAGCGGAGATGCCCGGCCCAGCGAGGACGTTCCCGTGGCACGCTGGCCAGGCCGGCGGCCCGGGCCTGGGGAAGCTCCCGCGCACACGGCACGTAAAACGCGGACGAGCCGCGGTTCCAGCCTGCGTCGGCCAACAGCAGAGCTCAGCTGAAACCACACAGAAACTTGCTGCATCCTACATCCTTCTGTGCCACGAAGCCCTCCTCTGTCCGCCCAGGGCCTCCCATCCTCTCCCCGTTCCCAGGAGCTTCCCCGTGCATCATCCCTTCTTGTCCTCAATGTCCCACCTCCCCCTCTCCGCTGGGTCTTTCCTGTTGGCCTAGAATATGTTAAGGGAGACGGAATCCCTCACCAGCTACTGGATGTCTCTCTCCTTCTCAACCACGGCAAAATTCCTTGAAAGACCTATCTACTTTTCCTCGCCTCTGTCCCACCCCTCAGACCTGCAGTCAGCTGTCTAGCCCCTAACACCACCAAACCGGGCTCGATAAACTATAACCTGCCGTCCTCAACTGCCAAGTCCCTGCGCACTGTTTGACACCCCGGCAGAGACCACTGCCTCCTTGGAACACTCATGTCCTCTGGTTTCTCTCCGTCCTCTCTGGTCTCTTCAGCATCTTCCTCTCCCCACTTCAGTAAAGGTTGGGGGTCCCTTAAAGCTCAGGCCTAGGCTGTCTCTTTTCCTCTTGTCTGTCTATAATTTTTTCCTGTGTACAGACAACTCACAAATTTCTCTTTCCTTCGTCCTCACTCCTGAGTTCCGGGTTCGTGTAGGTGCCTGCTCAGTCTGCATCTCCACCGGAGTGTCCACAAGCACCTCAGTGGCAACACGCCCCACACTGAGTTCTTCCCCCGACTCCGTACATCCCACATTCCCTGCTCACCAAGGGAGACCCCCCCCATCAGGTACCCAACCAGAAGTCCTACTTGGCATCTCCCTCTCCCCGGCCCCCGGCCCCTATCCATCCACGTCCCAAGTCTGTGCAGTTCTACCACTCGTATCTCTCTCTAATCCGTCCACATCTCTCCGTCCTCCTTCACACGAATGATCGCAACACTGTCCTGACAGCCGCCCCTCCGTATTTGTTCCCTCCCATGTCTCCTCCACACTGTAACCACGGGGATCTCCTCAAAATGCAGATCTGAGCCCATCACTTGCAGCTGAGGAAATTGCACTGCTCTTGGGAAAAATCCTAAAAGTGGTCTATAAGGCCTGACGTGGTTTGGCCTCTGCTGAATTCTCTGTCCACACTGACCTTCCTCCAGTCCCTCTAACTGGTCATTCCCCCTCCCCACGCACCCCCATCCCAGACCTCTACACATGCTGTTCTTTCTGTCTAGAAAATGTTCCCCCTCCCCAATTAAATCTTTCAGAATTCTTCAGCTCCCTTTAGAAGCAGAGGGATTTTTCTCACTTCCCGGACCAGGTCAAAACCTCCCATAACAGCCTCTCGTGTCCCTGTGTGCTTCATGACACTTGCCACAGTTGATGGGACTGAATGATTACTTGCTAACATCTACCCCACTGGCCCAGGAGCTCCCGGAGTGTGTGAACTGTGTGTGTCTTTGTCCATCACCACATTCTCAGCACCTGCCAGAACTGGGCTCAACAAGTATTTGCACACTGCACGAAGATACAGATCTCTGTCCTCAATACCTTGCTCCACGCAGCAGGCGTCAGTAGCCAAAGGCACGAGTAAGGCCTCCACAGGGTCCTGGAAGCTCAGGACCCCGTCCTTGGTCAGGTGTCCCCCTAGGAATCCAAGGCCTTCAGAGGGGGCAGGACTTGCTGAGGGTCATGCCCCTGGTCTCCCTGCCCTGAAGGAGGTGGCCATTCATCCCTTTGTGTGTTCCTGTCTCTGTATCGGCCCCACCCGGAAGATGCCATCTCTGACCTTGGCCTCTGGCCTCACTTCCTCCACCCAGCCCTCTGCATCCGGCCCTGGACTCCATCCTGGGCTCGTGATGTATTCATTTCCCAGGGCTGCCGTGACAAATGGCTACAAACTGGGCAGCTTAAATCAACAGAACTTTATTCTTTCACAGTTCTGGAGGCCAGAAGTCTGAAATCAAAATGTTGACAGGGCCGTGCTCCCCTGGAAGCTTCTAGGGGAGAATCTTCCATGTCTCTTCCAGCGTCTGGTGGCTCCAAGTGCTCCTCGGCTGTGGCTGCGTAACTCCAATCTCTGCCTCCACCCTCGCTCCTCTCCCCAGTGTCTGTGCCTCCTCCTGTGTTTCTTATACAGATACTGGACATTGGATACGGGGCCGCCCAGCTAACCCAGGATGGTTTCACCTCATGACCTGTAACTAGTTATATCTGCGAAGTCCCTTTGTCCAAATAAGGTCGTATTCATGGAGTCCAGATGTTAGCACATGGATGTATTTTGGGGGTGGGGGTGGGGATGGGGGCCACCATTTAGCCCATCACATCTGATCCTGAGGTTCCCTCCTGCCCTCGGTGGCCGCCCGGCCCCTGTAAATTGATCGCTCTCGGTTCTGAGTCTCCAGCCTGGGCCCACCCCAGACCTACGCAGTCAATAGCCTTCTTTTTGTGAGTGGCCATTTACTAAATGAACTCATTATCTAATGAACTCATTATCTTCTGTAGGTCCCCAGGCCCCCCACTTCTCTCTCTGTCCTAAGAAATACAAAGTGCCTTGACCGTTCTGTGTCCCAGCCACTGGATGTCTTTGCCTGCAGGCTTGGACCCCAGGCTGGGGCCCGAGCATTCCCAGGCACTGACAAAGGTGTTTAGGATGTTGTCCAAGACCCCGAAAGAAACTAGCCCGGCCCTGAGCCGATTCCTTAAGCCCCCACGTAAACTCCCTCGTCTCGCCGCCCGCCTCGCGGATGCTCTGCGCCCTCTGTGGGTAGCTGCCCTGGTCGATGCCCTGGACCGACCGCTCAGGCATGTGGTGCGTCTTTCTGTGGAAGCCCCCCCAGCCCCGTGGGAGACGGTTCGGGGCAGCGCCTTGGGCGAACTCCTCTGCCACTGCTTTTGGGGCAGCTCCGGCCGCAGGTTCGGCTCGGACAACACGCTCCCCCACAGCCTGCCCCACGCCGCCCAAACTGCTTCTGCCCCGGCACTTCCTGTATCTCGGGAAATGAAATCACCGTCTCCCGGCCACCCCCTTTTCTTCCCAGTCCGTCCCCCCACTGGGTCTCTCTCCATTCACTTCTTCCCATCTCTTGCTGTCACAGGTCACATTCAGGAGACCAGCACCTCTCACCCGGACCATCCGTCCTCCCCACTCTTCCACTCGGCTCCCTCTGTCCTTTACTCCATTGCACAGCCAGAGTGAGATTTTAACGACGTGACTCCATCCCGTCATTTCCAGATATAGAACCAACCCCTCAAGGGTATTCCGTGGACCCAAGGATAGACACAAATCTCAGCAATAGAGGATAAAGGCTAAGGGCTACCAAACTCCTTTATCCAGCCCTGCTGGCCTCTCTCTCTCTCTCTCTCTCTCTCTCTCGCTTTTTTTTTTCCCTTGAGACAAGGTCTCACTCTTGCCCAGCCTGGAGTGCAGTGGCAGGATCATAGCTCACTGTAACCTCAAACTCCTAGCCTCAAGCAATCCTCCTGCCTCAGCCTCCTGAGTAGCTGGGAGTACAGGCACCCACCACCGTGCCCAACTAATTTTTTAA